TGTATGTATGTATATATATATTTGTATATGTATGTGTATGTATATATATGTATATATTTGGATGTATGTGTTTATTTATGTATGTGTATATGACTATGCTGTCACAGATATTATTTTTTACAGATCTGTTTCTTCTAATGCGCCACCCACCTACTTATGCTTTAATTCCTTCTACCCAAAGGTTGTTTGGAAGAGATTGCTTAGCAATAAGACCGCCTTTTGTACTACACTATACGTATTGAAAATTGTTCATCAAATCCTGTTATGTTGGTGCAATAAAGTGTTAAATAAATAAATAAATAAATAAATGATATAGACGACGTGCTGAAGAGGGGCCAAATTAAAAGTACCCGTAACCTTCGAGCATGTATCAAAAGATTGATGAATGTGGAGGAAGCGAAAGAGGTCAGTTTGAATCATAACATTTGGCGTTCCATTATTTCTGCCTACCCTAATAAGAGACAGACGTGACAGATATGTATGTATGTTACATGTTGGCTATGGTAACCGCTTACCATCAGGTGGACTGTATGCTTGTTTACCATCTCAGTGGTATGTAAAAAAAAATTGAAATATATCAGTATTCATCATTATTAAAAATGTGGCTGTGTTTCGTTTTGAAGAGTGGGATATGGCGTGAATTTACAGGGTACAGAGGAATAACATCTGAGTCCTCAGGAATGGCAACGCATGGGGGGTATCATGGGCGAAACAGTATACTCTATTATGTCCATGGTACTGCTCATGTCTATAGTTACTGCTTTCCATCAGGTGGGCCGACAGCTTGTTTGCCATTCTAAGTTGTATAAAAAAAAATAGTACAAAATTCTGACGAATGTATTTGAAAGAACAATATAACTAATACATAATAAGCAAAATTGATTCTAATTCACATTAAAAACATTGCTTGTACCGATAAAAAGGTGTGTTTTGTTTTAATTTAAAAAAAAAGTGTCAAAACTTGTCAGTGAAACGTCAATTTAGCTAACACGGTTTTGTCACTCGATATACTAATCTACATAACCTAACTCTCTTATTCATAAAACCTTCAAATCTTATACACTTATTTTATCTATTGAACTGTTTTATCTGTTTCGTTTATACTACATACTCAATTAACTGAAAATCAGACTGACTTAGTTTTTTTGCCTTTCCCATTGTGGATAAATTAATAATACTACTACTTAATTTCTAATTTGATAAAAAGCTACAAAACAGCATTATGTTAAAACAGGTTTATAAAAGGTTTTAGTTTATATGAGGTATTTTTTATGGGTGATAATGATGAATGGTAACCCCGCCTGCATTATCGGTATACGCTGGCGAGACACCAGTGGTAGATGACAGATGAAGATGAAGGCAGGTCAAACGGCCCATCGTGAAGAATTCAGCAAGAATTAACCACGATGGTTTCCGGGGTACCTACGTGAAGGTCGAGGTATATTGCTAGCAATGGGGCTGTTTTATTTTTTGGGGAAAATAGCATAGTATCCCTGCTATGCATGGTATCCCCGCCTGCACTATCGGTATACACTAGCGGGGTACCAGTAAGCGGTGATAGGTGAGGATGAAAAGGCAGGTCAGTTAGCCCATTGTGATGAATTCAATGATAAATTTGTCACGATAATTTCCAGAGGGAACCGCGTGGAGGTCGATTTGATAGGGTATATTGCTAGCAATGGGGCTGTTAGAACCCATTACTAACAATCCCTTTCTCCCCTGAATAAAGAGTTAAAGCTCTTTGGATATACTCGGTGAAATTAGACACGTCCTATGTACGTTTATCACAAAGGCAACTGTTAACAAATGCCTACGACTTCTTCATTACAAATTATAGCCATGACTATATTTATATTATCTTACTCTTTAAATTGAAACACGGCTATGTAATTTGTATATAAATGGTGAAAAAAAAAACAATCTAAATACTAGACCTAACTTAGATATACCTACATTCGAATTATTTATGTACTAAAAGGAAAAGTTAACAAACTACCTTTCTGAATAAAAAATATCTTATTATAGCTTTACACGCAAGAGGTAGTCAAACAAACTGTGTATGCTCACCATTGGACGCCTCTCAAGTATATGTTTGCACTGTCCTAATGGCCATAATGGCGTCTAGTCTCTTGAATATTGTATGACATTCCCGCCAAAACTCTTCGGCCATCTTGGATTTCAAGATGTTCATAAATATCTATTTAATCGGTGAAGTGTTTGCGTTAACAGTATTTTTTTTTTAATTAAAAGAAAATCAGGCGCCTGACATTACTTTTAAATTAATAAAAAATTGTATAAATAATATTGTTATTGAGAAGTTATATCATCATCATGCTCTTAACCGTCCATAGCTGAACATAAGCCTTCCCATAAGGGAAGTTTTGCCAGTAGTTGCCACGCTTAGCAAGCGAATTGGCAACCATAGTTAGGAGAAATATTTTAAGAGAAACGCTGCTCCCCATCCCTCGCCTCCGAGAAGTTATATAGTCGTTTATTATTCCATCGAATTGACATTATAATTTTTCATTTTGTTCTACCACAAAATTTAATTCCCTTAAGGTATTTTCTTTATATTCTTCTATAAATTTTTGTTACGCTCAAAAATAAATACACCCTTAGTAAACGAACAACTAGAGATATTTAAATGGAATGGAATATTTTTTCATAGTTTTATTTTTTATATATTTATATAACATTTTATATAACATTGGCCATGTAGTCCCAGCATAGAATAGGCCACCCCTTTTTTTCACGTTGATGTCGTAAGAGACGACTAAACTTAGAAGATGATTAAAGCCTGACTGCGGTTGCCAATCCGCCTGCCAAGCATGGCAACTACTGGCAAAACCCTCCCAAGGGGGAGGCTTATGTTCAGCAGTGGTCAGTTAAAAGCTGATATGATAATGATGATAATTTTTTTTTTGTATTTTCTTTTTTATATGTCCTTACGTGAATCACATACTATTGCAAACTGTTTTTACATGAATTACTCACACTGTGCACATAATATAATTGAATTGTAACCTAGCTGTATCACAAATGTAAGTGTTATTTATGTATTTTTTATGATCATCGTCTGTTTTATGCGTCTAATAAATAAAACAAAAAAAAATAAGTAATAAAAAACATATTTCTTTAAAATAAGAACTAGGTATTTATAATCAAATAAATTACTATATGTTTATATGTAAATGATATGTACATACAGAGATATGTGCTATATAGCACATATCTCTGTATGTACATATTATTAGACATAAATACGTTTAAACACTTTATTTCTTTAAAATTAAAATAAAGTATTTAAACAAATAAATAAAGAAAACCTAAACATAACACAACGCCATGATTTCCAAACTAAACAGAAAGTGCACTAAGAATGATGCTGATAAACATACTTAAATGCATGTTTAGATTATTTATTCCACTCCTTACCAAATCGAATAAAAATCGAAGAAACAAAAAACAAACAAAACATTTCACTATACATATATCAGTCCTTCGAGCCCGATTGTTTCTGATTCCTCACAGGCTCTACATATTTGGCTTACGGATAAGCTCATCTCGTGAGAGAATGTGCTCTGCAGCACGATGTCAAGGTTATATTGTAACGTACGTTACTGCTACTCTAGACGTCGTGAAATAAAAACATTACGAGCACAGAAAAATAAATATAAAAAAAAAAGAAAACATAATAATCAAACTTGACGACGGTAGCACTCAAAGCCAGTTTTACATGAAGGAGCCTATTTCCAACGGGTTATAAAGTACTTTAATAAAACATTCCACACCTTGAATACAGAGCGTAGATATAAGCAAAAATACTTGGTAAGATAAATGAAAAGCAGGGTTTTGAATACAGCTGAAGACATTCCACGCCCGTGCCCCGAGGAAAAATGTTGTTCCCGATAGCGCCTGTTAAGCGAACCGGCATTTTAGCTATTCGAGGCGAAAATACCGGAATTCCGGTATTATAAAACGTGGAGGAATCTGAATTGAGCGTGCACGTAATGGGAATTGTTAATGCCACCAAATGGACCGGATAAATTGGGTCTCGCGGTGACCATGTGGTCGCATGGCGTAACATATTACTTAAGGGCCGTTCAGATTATTCGATCTGTCGCGCACTAGAAGTGTAAGTGTGTGAAATAATAGAACAATATATAGAATTAAAAGGCGAGAGGAGCATTTACTTATTTTAAAATCAAACTGATGTTTTGGTTTATTAAAAAGGACATTTATAATTATGATGAAATGCTAGTTAGCTTTTTGCCCTCTAACTTTTACACGTGGATTTTAAAAGTAAAAAAAAAAACAATGAAATAGACTACTTCTAGATGGTCTATCAAAATAAAACATACACTATAATTTTATTTACACCTTCAGGAAAAGAACTGTGGAAACCGCATCCAATTTGGTACAGTAGTTTTAGACGAACAGGCAGACAAAAATTTCTAAAAATGATCATTTTGGCTTCTGTTAGCATTCTTATTAAGAGTTTTCATACCATTTTGCTTAAACATCTCCCATGTACAGATATCGTTTATTTACAATTTTATTTTAATAATAAGATATTTTAATAAGTTACTTGTCCTCTTTGTTATTATCTAATAGGTATAAGATTTATATTAAATTCAAACGCAATTTTTACTTACATTGTATGTGAATAAATGATAAATTGGTTAATTAATTGATTGACTTACATACATATATAGTCGAATTACATTACCCTAATTTCTTCCTCAATAGGATAATAATAATGTAAAATATAAAATGTATTTTCTAATAATAAATATTAGAAACCTAGGAATAAGGAACCACCAATAAGGAGTCTATTCATTGCAGCAATTTACTACAATTGCTGTAATGATTAAATTTCTTATTGATAGCCATTGTTTTTTCCAACAGCAACAATTAATTACTACCTCTCGTGTGTGTATCACCCTCAATTATCAAGAATTTTCATTTAAATAATGCTAATGAACGTATCTTGTCACCAGAACATAATAATGCCGCACCAATGGTTGGAGGGCAATTTGCCGGTGGCGGCCAAGTGTGACGTGTGCGATAAGACGTGCGGCTCTGTGCTTAGGTGAGTAACGACCCTTAACTCTCTCGTCTCTAGACCTATTCTGTACTTAGGTAAGTAACGATCCTTAACTCACTCGTTTCGAGACCTATTCTGTGCTTAGGTGAGAGTCAACCCTTAACTTACTCCTTTAGAGACCTATTCTGTGCTTAGGTGAGTATCAACCCTTAACTCAATCGTTTAGAGACCTATCCTGTACTTAGGTGAGTATCAACCCTTAACTCATTCGTTTAGAGACCTATTCTGTACTTAGGTGAGTAGCAACCCTTAACTCAATCGTTTAGAGACCTATCCAGTACTTAGGTGAGTATCAACCCTTAACTCAATCGTTTAGAGACCTATCCTGTACTTAGGTGAGTATCAACCCTTAACTCAATCGTTTAGAGACCTATCCTGTACTTAGGTGAGTATCAACCCTTAACTCAATCGTTTAGAGACCTATCCTGTACTTAGGTGAGTATCAACCCTTAACTCAATCGTTTAGAGACCTATCCTGTACTTAGGTGAGTATCAACCCTTAACTCAATCCTTTAGAGACCTATCCTGTACTTAGGTGAGTATCAACCCTTAACTCATTCGTTTAGAGACCTATTCTGTACTTAGGTGAGTAGCAACCCTTAACTCAATCGTTTAGAGACCTATCCAGTACTTAGGTGAGTATCAACCCTTAACTCAATCGTTTAGAGACCTATCCTGTACTTAGGTGAGTATCAACCCTTAACTCAATCGTTTAGAGACCTATCCTGTACTTAGGTGAGTATCAACCCTTAACTCAATCGTTTAGAGACCTATCCTGTACTTAGGTGAGTATCAACCCTTAACTCAATCGTTTAGAGACCTATCCTGTACTTAGGTGAGTATCAACCCTTAACTCAATCCTTTAGAGACCTATTCTGTACTTAGGTGAGTAGCAACCCTTAACTCACACGTTTATAAACCTATTCTGTACTTAGGTAAGTATCAACTCTTAACTCACTCGTTTAGAAACCTATTCTGTACTTAGGTGAGTATCAACCCTTAACTCACACGTTTATAAACCTATTCTGTACTTAGGTGAGTAGCAACCCTTAACTCACTCGTCTGCAGACCTATTCTGTACTTAGGCAAGTATCAACACTTAACTCACTCGTTTCGAGACCTATTCTGTGCTTAGGTAATAACGACCCTTAACTCTCTCGGCTCCAGACTTATTCTATACTTAGATAGGTAATGACCCTTAACTCACTCGTTTCGAGACCTATTCAGTGCTTAGATGGGTAATTACCCTTATCTTCTTCGTTTCTAGACCTATTCTATGCATAGGTGTGTAACGACCCTTAACTTACTCGTCTCCAGACATACGACATACTCAAATGAATAACGACCTTTAAATCTCTCATCTCTACAGCGACGCAGACAGCGAACCAGTATGTTTTATCGTTTTAATAAATCTTATGTTTATATTCTTTATTGCACTTGTAAATTACAAACATTTATTATTATTATTGTAACATATATGACAGTTATAAATATGTAAATATTTTGTATGTTCATTCACATTAGAACTCGAAGCATGTAGCTACTTTATTAGATTTTTTTTAATTATGAAAACAGATTGTAATATAATAATGTCGCCTGCGCTAGCGTTATACGCGGCGGATTACCAGTGAGGGACGATACAGTGAGGATGAATACAGTCCAGTTGGCTCATTGCATCGTGACCATAGATACACTGGTATATAGACAGCTAATGGCTATGACTTGACGCTTATGTAAGAGCGAATTGACCAAACTTTTCAGACACACATGCCAGCTACTTTCCGCGAAGGTCGTCGAAGAAACTCCGCAACATTTTCAAAATACGTGTCATTTCTGTGAAACTGCTTAAACTTGTTTCCATACAAAATTTTTTAAAACACAAGGAATTCCATATCATCGACAAATTCAAAATCTTATTCTAGTTTCTATTTTTAATTAAATTTTATAAATATTATATTTAAATGTCAAAGTTGTTCTAGTATCGAGCTTAGTGATTTATCGATATATAAATTCGAGTCCCGTGTGGTCCCGGCATAGAATACCCCTTTCTCGTGGGTATCATAAAAGGCGACTAAGGAAATACGAGAGATGGGCAGCTTCTTCAAACATCTCCAAAACTTAACTGCAATTATCAACCCGCCTGCCAAGTGTGGCAACTACTGGCAAATCCCAAAGAGACAGCAGTGGACAATTGAAAGCTAATATGATGATGATGAAATTCAAGTCAGATTGTTTCTATATTAAAATCTGTCTAAACTTGAGTTCAAAGCTAAGCTAGACTATATAATACTAATACAAAAATATATATTTTGAAAAGATAATGAAGAATCCTATTGATAAGTATTTTATAGTCATTACAAGTGCGCGGGCGATTTTACCCAATGTATACAGATATCGAGTTGTAGATTAATATCGATGCTATCTAATCTCTAGATTGAAGGCTTGTGTCAAGTTGACATCTGTCACATGTCAATGATGACAGATGTCAATGATGATAAGCGGCGACATTCGGGCCCCATATAAAATGCTCGACATGTCCATCTTGTATGTTTAAATAATATATAATCGTGGTATATCCATCAGGAGGAAACAACAAAGATGTAAAAGAATTAACCTAAAATTCGATGTAACAGTGCTGAATTTACCAATAGGCCGTAAAGCCGCGACCAATGAACGGCAATTTCATTCAATTTCAACGGCGACCGGAAACGGAATTCCTGTTTCGTTTTATACTTTTACTATTCATTCGCCCGTTTACTTTGCGATACCTACCTTACCTAGCCATACATAAACACCTAGGTAAATTTATACAAGTGAAAGCCTCTCCGCTTCCTTCCTAGAAGGGCGCCGGAACGTGAAGTAGTTCTATACTTTAGAGAAATATCAATTTACTACTAATAGGGTATATTGCTCGTTACAGACCCTCTAGACCTCGACAACAATGCGTTTATAATCTATACATATAAAATCGTCTGTCCTGACTGACTCAACATACAACCAAAACAATTAAGTCTATAAAACTGAAATTTAAAACACAGGATTATTTTAGAACGCTAAGAAAGGATTTTTGGAAATTTCAACTTAAGAAGCATGACACCCTACGTGCGAAGCCCCGAAGAACAGCTTGTAAAAAAAAATGATACCTGATGTTCATATTTTATCTTTTTTTTTAAATATGTTTTCGACAATTATTTCGACTTCATTCGAAAATCTTCAGAGGGCATTTAGCGCTTTGCGTCCTTTAAAAAAGACTTCCGGATGAAAAATTAACGTAAGTTTTAAAAATAATATAATTTTACGATTTTACCAGTTTTAATTTAATGTCATAACAATCAATGTTTAATATAGTATTATACTTTTTCTTTCATCACCAGATTTTCTTTATTAAATGATTCCACACATTGGATTATTCGATATCTTCCAGGATTTCGTGATATCCCAAGATATTTCGTGAAATCCCTAATACTCACATTTCCCTGCGACATATATATGTGGTTAAAAATGATACTGTTAATCTTTGAACAGTAATATCCGCGGAAAAACGCGCGTATATCCGGGATTATCCGGGAGTGATATTGTAAGGAATACGACGCGTGTCAGTAATTCAGTATATATACCAATATTATATATATATATATATATATATATAAAATTCTCGTGTCGCGGTGTTTGTTACCAAACTCCTCCGAATCAACTTTACCGATTTTTATAAAATTTTGTGTGCATATTGGGTAGGTCTGAGAATCGGCCAACATCTATTTTTCATACCCTTCAGTCATAAGGGTGACCTACCCCTAAATATTTTATTTTTTGACAACTTTTTATTATTTTTGTTTTGTTATGATTTAGCGTTGAAAAATACATATAAATTCAAATTTTCAAGCTTTTACGATCAATCCCTGTTTTTTAATCGCGATTTTTATATGCCACAATAGGGTTGCAAGATGGCAATAGTTGTCGAAATAATGTAAATGGTAAAACGTTTGCCGAGTCAACATATATATATATACTTGGTGAAATTCCAAATTCAAGTACCAAGAATATTCAATATGAACAGACCATTTCCCCCTTATTCATAAAAACTAAAACGTCCTAACCTATTTTTTTAACTATAAGATTATTATGTTACATTTTGATAAATAATCATATTTATACAGGCGAGTGTACCCAGTGGGGTGGATGTAACCAGGGGGGTGACAGGAAAACAGCTGCCCCCTCCCCTGAATATTGTGTACCTTACTATTATATTATATGCCTTATTATTATTCGTTAACTTTTGAAAAAAAACCACAGTCGCCACAAATCTGATTTGTCCCCCTTGGATCAGAAGCTGAGTACGCCCATGAATGCATGAACCTTTCCAAATTCATTCATTAAAAGGCTTACACAAAGAGAAATTTTATCCAAAGACAAATTGTCCATTGTCTACACAGGTAATAATGGTCGTAATCAAGGGATTAGATGGATATTCGAGCGCAGAGTCGTATTGTGGGACGCGGTAGCTTTCATCTTCGCAATCAGACTTAAATCTTTAACCATTAGTTTTTTTTTTTTTATACAACTTAGAATGGCAAGCAAGCTGACGGCCCACCTGATGGAAAGTGGTAACCGTCGCCTATAGACATGAGAAGTACCATGAACATAACAGAGTATACTATTTTGTATTGAATTATTATTATTAATTAATTTAGTATATTTTCGTATTTACGTATCCTCGTTGTATATGTTATATAATTTGTGAAATACACACATGTATGTATATACATACAATTTTTAATATTTTTCTCTGCATAATTTTTTGTTTTTCTAAAGGTGAAGGTTTTGCGAGAGAATGCGTTATAGCACTAAGTCCGCCTTTTGTACCAAAAATTGCATCATTAAAACTGAATCTTAAGTCCTTATCCTTAAACCTTTACCATGTTCGATTTTAATAACTTCGAGGTACCATTCTTATGTTGTATCCGCCGTTAACTGTCCACTGCTGA